GAATCATCTCGAGCCACTTTCCAAGTTCCTACATCATGACAAATACTCATTAACCAGGAAGTGGACACACTTTACCCTTAACACTCAGTGTTACACTGACAACATCAGGCAGCTCTTTCGGGAATTGCACACAGATAATGTTTTATTGCAGCGGATGTGTGACATCACATAAAAAAATGTTTAAAACCTTTGCATGGAAATCACATCTGTCAGTTCCCAAGATTAAATGTTGTTCTGTGGCTGGCTTCTTTTTTTATGCCAGAGGAGGCAGCTTGCAGGAAAGCTATCCCAGGAAACTGTCTTCTGGATTAGCTGTTTAAGCAAATTGTGTAACTGCCATTAAAACCAGAATGTAGCCAGCAGACAGAATTTCACAAAAGAGGAGAGATCCACATTTGTAGAAAAGTCACAGCTGTTCAGTGTTACAGTTTGCACTTTTTGCATTAATTTTTTCCCTTTCTTTATGAACAGTGGTGATGGTTACATTTCTAGTTAGCAGCTTTGGGACATTTTAATACACCACTAAGTGTGGCACTAGCCTGGATTTGGTTTTCTAGCAGGAAAACCTGGCCTTACTTCTTTTGTCTGGCATTTAGAATAGAACTCAATCTTCCTGCTTGACTTGCAGATGACATGATGTTGAGTAGGGCCCAGTGTACTTAAAATACATTTCCACGTGCTGCCGCTCCCTGACCTACAACACTAGGGGCTTTATCTTCTGTTTCAGGTCTTGTTTCCAGGGCCATGCTGCTTGGGAACCCTCTTCACAATAGCAGGTGTGGGCCTGGTGGCTCACTATGCTTGGGTCAGCATCTCATTTTACAGGGCTGGGTAAGCAGTGCAGCCTCCTAGCCTGGAGCATCTTGCTGTGAAATTGTTCTAGACCTAGAGGGAAATCATCATGTTTGTGCAGGAGGCCTCATGTTCCTAGAGACCTGGAGGCTTGTCTGGAACATTGTGGATTGCATGTGTGAAATTTTTGAGAGGCATTATTGCCAAGAATTTGAAGTCTGGGCTCTCCAGCCAAATGGTCTATGCCCACATTTTATCCCTGTGTAGTCCCCAGGAAGTCCCTCAGCTTCTTTCAAAAGTTTCCTTGACTGTGAACTGGAGGCCACTTGCTTTGTCATCACTGCAGAGGATGATAAATATGGCAGAGGCACATGGAACAGATGGTAGTTATTTTGATGGGATGATGATGATGATAATGATGACCATGATGATGGGGATTTTTTCCTCTTGGCTGTTGGATCTAATTTAGCCATAATTTTTAAAAATGAATTTACTCAGGGCAAAATTATAACATACTGGGTAAGCTAATAGGGGTCAAAACCTGTGTGGTCATGGCTTTGCCAAAACCTACCTGTGCATACGTGCTTTACTATTGATACTAGAATTTCTTTTGGCCTGGCCACTTTGTTTGCCATGAAAATGTGTTTAAGTGCAGGTGGCTCAATACCCAGCACTGGGCTCAACCTGCCATTCCTGGTTGAGGGCAGAGTCCACTCTACAGCTTCTACCCTGAGCTATTGGTCTAGATGAAGAGTTGCTGACTGCTCAGGTGTCTGCCCCTCCAGTGTCTATGGATGTGGTTGTGATTTTCAACCTAAACAACTGGATAAAGAAGGTGCTCTTCATTATTTCACAACCAGTACTTTTAACTGTACAAATGGATATATATGAATAGTCATTAAAAGTAGGAACTTTACAAAGAATCCGCTGCCCACTGACACCTCTGTCATTAGCAGCATTAGTGAGCCAATATTTTCTTGGGTATAGATTTATAAAGATCTATATTTTTGTTAATTTCATTTTTGAGTACAATATTTCTTCCTTCCCTTTCCTCTCCCAAACTCCCTCATAAGCCCCTCCCCATTCTCCTTCAAATTCATGGTCCTTACTTCACTTATTGTTACTGTATGCATATATAACAAGCTCTTTAGAGATGAGCACTCGATAACCTTGCTTTTTAAAAATTAACTAAATCTTAACAATTTAAAATGATTTCTTAATATGCTTACATTAAAGTTATCATTATAATTATAATGAATGTTATATCGACATAAGTTTTGTGTGTGTGTGTGTGTGTGTGTGGTAGTGGAACCTTGAACATGCTTGACAAACACTCTAACTCTGGGAGAAATCTCAAAATGGTATTTCATATTATTTATATCTATACTAGAAACATTGATAATTTAACTTAGACTAGAAATGCACTACTTTCCTGTATAAAATACTATAAAAAGGTACATGACTTTCCCACCCCCCAGTAGTCACAGTATATAGATTAAAAAATGCCACATGGCCTTTGTTTGATAAGTTTCATGAGCAGGACTAGTTTCAGAACCAATACACACCTATGCTAATGACAACATAGTGGAGAAGACACACAGTTGAAAAAAAAATCATATAAATATATATACTCAAATGAAATTGTATGACAAAGTCTCTCATTTTGATGGAAGATATTTTTTACTTCAGGCAGCATACACACTTTCTCATATATATATATATATATATATATATATATATATATATGTGTGTGTGTGTGTGTGTGTGTGTGTGTGTATTTACAACATGTTGATAAATTTTTCAGAAAATATTTCTCTGAAAAACAATTTGTTAATGTTCTATTTAATGTTAACGGCATATTTGGACTATCTGCTTACTTGTCTCAATTTTATATTCACACATATTCACACATCTGGTAACTAATACTGGTATACTGTCTAGAGTCCTGTAATAACAAGGCTATGGAAAATAGCACAGCTCAATCTCCTAGAGGGAAGTTCAGCTAGTTTGATTCACTGTGACTTGTATATATGACCTTACAATCACTTGAAACCTAAAATTATCAGACTCATTTTTCTGACCTAATTGGACAAGCATGATTGAACTCTGAACAGTTTTTTAACCACAGCTGTGATAAGTGGAAAACGAAGTGGAGAAATAGAAGAGTATAATTTAATTAAAAACAAAAAAATGCAATTCAAAGTAAGAGCTTAACAAAGAGTTTGTTTTTAGGGACATAGCCTATGTCCAAGTCAATGACTGATTGTTAGAGTCTACCCTCTGCAGGCCCTTACATGAGGATCAGGTAGGTAGTAACAGCTTTCTGATGTGTGGGTGCTTATCATATTCTGATAAATGATTAAGGCAGAGGCTGTCTGCACATTGGAAATTATTTTCAAAGCACATGATGACAAATGAGAAGAAATAATCTAAAGAATTAGAAGAAGGTAGGGGTCAGCAAAATAGGAGTTGCACACCAGATCTGTCCTGCATTTTTGTCTCTTGTAAATGACACTTTGTGGTAGAGCCCTTCACACATGAAACTGATGCCAGATGTGTGTTACCTGATCTTTATGGAGTTTGCCAACACTGGAACTAAGGAGAGGATTTTTGTGCATTGATTCTATAAGGCAATGTATTAAAAAAGACATGGCATGTCACACATTTCAGTCCTGTGTTATCATACGGAAGCACTTTTGACTGCAGACGCCCTATGCTGAGGTGTACTGTGCTCTCATTAAATAAACTGAGACAATTTAGGAAGGTTGAGTGTGGATCTCAGCAATAGAGTATTTCCCTAGATGTTAAAATGGCAAACAGATATAATCAAGCATTCAAGCTAAAATTTATTATACTTAGTATTCTGTTAATTTTTTTTAGAGATACAGTTTTATTATTATTAAAACAAGTATTTTCTTGATTTTTAGTTTAATAGGACTTGGAGAACATGCAAGTATTTACAAATGATATTCTCCCTCTCCTTTCGGCCCCTCTCTTCTTTGCAATCAAGCATAACTCTATGAATTTATCCTACTTTTTATATCTATTGAGTGCCCACACATTAGAGGGTAAACTCTATATTAGAAGAGTGCTTATAGTAGATGAGTTAAATTCACCTTGACCATGAATATGAAAATGATAAACTTGGAGTCAAACTTGGGGCTTCTCCAGATGATCATGGGGTGGGGAGGTCAAATTAATTGAGACAAATGCTCATACAGGACAGACTCAGGGGCAGTAGGGTTCACAGGTCTCGCTCATCTGAACATCTGCAGCACAAAGAAGGGCTTGACACATAAGAAAAGCCAGTAACTGCTTGAACATTATCACAAATCAGTTTAGTAAGCAAACCATTAATATATGACCCCTGACCATCTTGATTATTATTATACATGGATTATGATGAGAAGAAAAAGAGTTCAATCTTGATAAACAATGGGAAAGTATTTGGCTTTGCAAGCACTGAACTTCTTGGGTATTATTGTACGTAGGCTTTGTGATTCACTCAAATAATGCTAGGAGCACCACATGATGGGTAAGAGTCAAACATTCTCTATCAGAAGAGAATATGATGGAAAGCAAATTACATAATTAATTTTAGAGAATTATGAATATCATTCTATTTTCTTAAGAAAAATATGTGTGAGGTATGTTAGTCATTAGATTCTCTAGTCTGAGTTAAACAATATATAGATGGAGACAATTCATACTATATATTGATGCGGTACAGCTCAACAGGTAACATGAAAGTCCATTACACTGAAAGAACACTGCAGATATACTGTGGGGTTCTACAAATGAGAAAGCACCAAAATTTTGTCTTTTCCTTTCACGGGAAGGCATCCTGATTCAGTTAATAGAATTTGAAAACTGGGATAATAGAACATCTCTTTGCACAAGCAGTTAGCTCCCAACAGTTTGGTTTCAAAACGTAAGGCACTCACTTAAATATCTTTAGCAATCACTCATTCTGAGGACAGCATGGAACACACTTTTTCAATTGATGTTTTAGAATCATCAGTCAAAGAAAAAGAATGACACATCAGCCAGCGGCAGGATCAAGAAGTAGCTTGTCACACTGTTGGAGTCTTTGCAGACATCTCAGAGTTAAATAAAAGAGGATTGTTAGCCACATATGCTCAATAAATGAAATGCTACACAATTCACAACATACTAGTGACAACTTAGTGTCACATGTAGAGACTTACTCGACATAGTACGTGCCGTATATGGGGTCATCGATTTTTTCCCAGCCATACGGAAGCTCTGGAAGATAAAAAGGTATTTCTTCAGTTAAAAAAAAAAAACCACACGATTTCCCATTAAAAAGTCATATAATTTAATTTTTCATAGATTAAAGAAATGGTCTTCCAAGCAGAATAAAATGAATAAAACCATCAGAGTTTGTCCAAATTTCAGACACATTGTGGCAGCTGTAAGTAGCACTGACTTAAAACTGGTAGTGAAAACTAAACCTCCCTTCCCTGCAGATTTCCTGCAGTGGTTGGTTGTTTGTTCCTGTCAAGTAGTAGGCTAGAACCTCATCATGTTACCACTGTCTAGAGCAACTCAGAAGGCAAACCACTTTCCTCAGAGTGGATGCCTCTCTCTTATTTACTTGTGTTGTGAAATGAGCACTTTGGGGTAAAGATCGTATTTTCAAGACATATTTCTTAGGATAGCAAATTGTGATGACTGCAACAAAGACATTACACATTCTCAAATGACTGAGCTAGTTAGCAGTGTGCCTCCATTCCTGCCACATGGGTCAGAATTTGTATACTGTCAGGATGCTTGCTGGATATAGCATTAAAACAAGTTTAAATATTTTACTTGACAAAGTATCAATAGTATGAACAATAGTATGAATAGCATGCTACCACTTTAAATGTCACAAAATAGTAGTCTGGACATGGCTTGGGCCTGTGCAAGTTCACAGTCTTCTACTATTGACTATGGTGGACTTCTATAATATGCACCATCTGTTCAGGACGCACTATAATTCCATCATTTCTGTTATCCCTTTCCCCTCCCTTCCCTCTCACATACACCATCCTTGTTTTCTTAAACTCATTGCCTCTGGCCCCCCTTTTACACTGTTGTTACATATATATCAAATTGCTTAGTCCATATAGTGTTACTTGTACAACTCCTGTACCTGAGGCTCAGAGAATATTGCAGAAAACAGAGCAGGAAAATTGTAAGAGCCAGAAGACTAGAAAGTTTGCTGTAATATTGTGTCCTCTAGAAATATCTGGGAAGCTACACTCATGAAGTCTTAATGACATGACTGCCCAAACAAGATGTTAACAAGAACAACACCAAAAGACATGCTAACATGGCAGGGGGAATCTCATGGGTCACCAACCCTAGACAATGAGCTACTGGAAACTAATGAATGCTGAAAACAGGAGAAATAGTCTTTCCCAGGGCAGAGTCCTCAAAGTGGTTATCCAAAGCCAACTGGCCAGTAATTTTTTGGTTTTTGATAAATGTTGCTAGCCTGCCATCTTCCCATTTACAGGAACACACATTTATAGTCTCATGGGGAACATATGAATGATGATTGTACCATTAAAGTAATTATAGATTCATGATTTCTCATTCCACACATTTAAGGATATACAGATTTGAGAACTCAAACTTCTTCTGAGTTTAGAAAGATGACATGATTCAACCACTCTCTTCTGCTTTAAGATATTTCAAGTAGAGTTTAAAGTCAAGGCATGACAATTCTATAGCCAAATGTGATCCATATGAAAAGGGAATATATAACTTATCTATACACTTTATTTTCATCAAATATCCAAAGCTAATGGAGACTGGCTATTAAAAATTTTTCACTTGACAATACCTGCCAAGTGCCTTTTACAAACAACAAATGTACAAATGTAGAAGAATGTAAGTAGGATAGAACTGGTGGCATGGACCTTTGTTAATTACGTGGTTCAATGAACATTTCTAACAAGGCATGCGACAGCATGTAGAAGCATTTCATCATCAAACTTTTAAGTGGTTTTCATCTCATAGACTATCCCTTCACTTATTTCTTATCTTTGGTTCTTTTTCAGGTAAGTTACCAGTTCTAACTGGTGCCGCCTGTAGTAGTAAAGGTCACTGATTATTGTTATCAGATTTACAGTAGAAATATCTTCAGAGTTGACCAATATATAATAGCACATATATAACAATAAAAAAATATATATTTATTGCTTCACTTGTGAAAGTGGTAGATAAATATAAAAAAAATTTACAATGTTTAATAAAGTAAGCACATGTGTATACAAATGGAAAAGTGTGTTTGTGTACATATATATGTGTGTGTGTGTATGCATATATATATGTCACTGTACATGTGAATATATTTGTTCACATTTACCTAAATGATATTTTAGTATGCAAAGAAAAATTTTAATAGAATATTATGCATATTTTAGTAGTGTTATGACATTTTAATATCTGTACAATTTCTATAATGTCTCAGGTTATATGTGTCCAAATATTTATTAGTTATTCTGGTGAAAATGTGCAAAAGAAACTTTAGAGAAATACTATTTCTCTAAATACATGGGTTCTCAACCATGGTGTCTTTACTGTGCAACATGACAGCAGAAATCTTAGGTTTTTTGAAAGGCAACATGGTTGTCTTTGAACTTTTGTTATTGAAAGGGTGAGAATGATATGAGCTAGGATATTAATGAACAATTACACTGTTCAAAAGAGAAAATAAGCAAAATCAAGATGCAAACTAAAGAGCACACATCTAGATGAAGGAAAGTTAAGAATTACCTTCCATTCTAAAAAACAAGTTATTTAAAGTTGAACTGGCTTTCAAAATCTAATTATGTCTCCCCTAATTAAGCTAACAAATCAGAAAAGGCATTTCTAATATAGTACTGTTTACCCAACCAGGAAAGCATGCACCTTGGAGATCTTGGGCCCTGAACCATTTAGAACACTGTATTCCACAGCACCTGGCAAATCTGGAGATGATTAAGGTCACATTGACAAAATAGCACAGACTAACAAAGCTGAAAAACAAACACTTGAGGTCAGCAAGGTTAATGCAGAATTAAGAACCGTTTTAATTGAGATTTTCTTCAGGCCACAGAATCATGATGCAAACTTGGTGATTAGATGTTCAACCCTGCAAAGTTTGTCTGTGTGTCCAAGTTAATCTGTAGTTAGTTACCCACTTTTTATAGTGGGAACTGAATCATATTAAATGGGCACCCATTCCTGTGTGGATCCTGCCAAATCACCTTTCCTTTCCTTTCCTTTCCTTTCCTTTCCTTTCCTTTCCTTACCTTTCCTTTCCTTTCCTTTCCTTTCCTTTCCTTTCCTTCCCTTCCCTTCCCTTCCTTTTCCTTTTCTTTCCTTCCCTCCCTTTCTTTTTTTTTTTTTTAACTTAAAGACTCATTTTGTTACATTTGGAGATTCCCCCCCCCCATATCACCAATACATACTTTATGAATTTATTTAATGTTTTTCACACAATGTGTTTTGAACAGAATTCTTCCCCCCACTCCTTCCAGAGGTTCCCACCTCCCTACACATCAATTTCATATTCTCTCTCTGCCTCCCTCCAGCCCGAACCTGCTCAAACAAAATTACTCTTTCCCACTTTGTTTAATGTTTTAGGGACATTTTACTTGCAGAAACATCCATGCTAAAGCGTAAAAAACAGCTTTTGAGTTACAAAAGGAATATTTATGGAAATGAGATACTCATATCAGTGATATAGAACATATTTCAGGGTTTCTTAGAAAATATGCTCTTTGTCTTGCACCATATTCTTCTGGACTGCATTATACATGGACCTGTTTCTCTCTGGCTAAACTTCATTCAATGTCCATATCATCCTATCATCTCATGTCTGACTGCGATTTCTGATTGCTCACCTTGAGTTATGTCTGAGTTTGGCCACCACCTACCTAGCTTCAGGTGGCTTTGTGTCTTAAGTATGGCTATTGGCATGTTGGGCTCCTTCTAAGTCTGTAATACATGTTCCTAAAGAATTTATTAATTTGTCCCCCATCGCCAGGCCTTGGCTAGAGGTGAGTCTGGGACCAATTCGGGTGGACTCTCCCCTATACCCTTCCCCGGAATTCCCTGGGTTGGCCCCGGATCCCCCTGCCCCTATGTCCTGTCCCCATCAAGAGTACTTTTAAAGCTCTGATACACCCCCACCCACCCCCACCAAGAGCCTGCACTCGCCCTATGCTGTGCCCTACCCTGCACACTGTCCCACAGCTCTGGTTGAGCACTGGGACAGAGGATGGAGCTAACAATCCAGACACCTTTGAGGAACTTCCGGGAGTGCTCTGAACACAGAAGACCTGCATATCCACTTGGAACCACCCGTAATTTCCACCTGCCTGGTCTCTGATCCCCACTGATGGTCCTCTACTGGAGTTCCGGGGCCCTTCCCAGAGATCCGCCTATCTCTGCAGGACCACTCTGAGTTCCTTGATTCCCATCGCAGGGCCTCTGCTAAAGAGGCCTCAGCTGGAGAGAGCCAGGTCAGTCTAGATCTGCCTATAGGCACAAGGAACATCCTGAGTCCCAGCCTTTGGGATCTTTGACCCCCATCGCGAGTCTTCTGCTGGACCCTGATCATTGACCCCCATTTCTGGGCCCCTGCCTGTGGAGAGACCTCCTAGAGATTGGACCACCCAGAGCTACAGACATCGAACCTCTGACCCACCTAAGCCCACCGGGGAAGTACCATAGAGAGAGGGAGAGACCACACAAACACCTACAGGAAGAAGCTATGGGAAGACAGCAATACCAGAAAACACCTAACAACACAAAGACAAGCATTACACCACCAGAATCTAGGGAATCTACACCAACTAGACTGGAACACAACAAAGCAGATGAAGCAAAACGGAATGACTTAAAAATTATCGTCATAAAAATGTTAGAGGCCCTCAAAGAAGATGTGAGAAAATCCCTTAAAGAAATGGAAGAAAAACAAACAAATAATTGGAAGAAATGAACAAATTTCTTAAGGAAAGTAAAGAAAGTACAGAAATCCAAGAAAAAACAAGCAGGTGAAGGAAATGGTTCAAGACTTGAAAACTGAAATAGAGAAAATGAACACAACGCAAATCGAAGGAATGCTGGGAATAGAAAAACTGAGCAAATAATCGGGAACTACAGAAACAAGCATAGCCAACAGAATTAAAAAGGTAGAAGAAAGAATATCAGGCACGGAAGATAAACTAGAGGAAATAGATTCATCAACCAAAGAAAATCGTAACTCCAACA